CACTTGAACGTAGATCATTTACTTTTCCTCCGGTTCTTACAGCAATCGATTCTCTTCAAGTTATCTGCACTAACCTGATGTCAAAGATGACTACATCAGTGGCTGAACTTAAACGTTCATCTAGTTTATTTTATGGGCTTGATTTCAGTTACAGAGTTACTTCAGGCACAATGAGTCACGTTGAGGATAGTGTCGACGTAAACAAGTTCCTGCCTCTGAACTGCTGTCGTGCATTCAATGAGGCTATTTTTTCTCGTCTGACAGTGATGCTCATCCGGCATTATTTGATGGGTATTTTCTGAAGAAGCTTTGCTTGACGATGAGAGTTCCGTTCTCCGTCACATATTCCGTCGGTGCATTTAGTCAATTTTAGTCAACTCAGAATATGGGAATATGGCTTTGTGAGAAGAGTATGAAATCTTGAGACTACAGCCTTAGATTTACCTTTATACTGGCATGCACAGAATTATAATGGTGATGTCGCACGAAATTCACTGTTACCGATTTTGGTGACTAATTCCTTTGCTACATTTAAGGCCGCATTATTGCCATTGCTGCTGAACAAAATTGACATTGTTGAAGACATATGTTATTCTTGTTCGTCCAACAATCCTTAAATATCGATGACATGTTTTATCGATTGTGCACATAGAAAAATTGCGATGACAATGTGCAAATTAGACAGATTCCATTTCTCTCTATATCCTGATATCTCCCAATGACTTCTTACATGTGCATCGTTTCATGCGTCCATGAATCATTATGGTGGTTTTACCAGAGGTTCAAGTTACTGTCAGGGACAAGTTAGCTGCGCTGAAGAGATAGCTTGAGTGCACAGACGTCTCAATTTGAATACCATATAAAAAGTCGGGCAGGACGGTACTGAAATAGTGGTGAAATCGAAACTGATTTCTGCAGGAGGTTAATTGAAATACTGGAGTAAAATTTCGAGACGGCAAAGAAAGTACTTCCGTCATACTATGCGCCTTCCGCGACCCTGAGAAAAAAGAGAGCCTTAGATTTACGAGATACAGTTTTGGACGCCATTTGCCAAGGGTGACCATGCGCCAGCGTTAGTTCTAGTATCTTAACGGATATATTGACCTTAAGCATTACGGAACGACTCACCTGAAGATCAGCAGACAACGCATGTTAATCGTTCGCTAGATTAAATCACAGAAGCTAATAAACGGAGAGAATCACAGTTCCTGTTATGACCATCAGGTGTCTATGAAACTGCAACGGCTGTGAGGAAAACACCAGTGGATTCTAGAAATGTAGAGGTAGTGTCCCCGTACAACATACACCATAGGGGCTTGTTCGTCCGGCATGTCTACGTATTC